CTCCCACCAACAACACACGCCACCAACAAAACACCCCTCAAAACATGAATTTCCCCCACGTATGCCCTTAACCTCAGCCCTCCCCTCCCAATTACCCCCCTCGCCCGCCACGCCGTCCCTGGCTGCCCAGAGCTCCCTGGAGCGGCTGCTGGCGCAGCTGGTGGCAGTCCAGGGGGCGCTGCACGAGGAGAGCGGCGGCAGGGGCGAGCCATTCGACCTGCGGAAACACCTGGGCCCTCCGCCCGGCAGCAGCGGTAGCGGCGGCGGCGGCGGTTCGCCGGGCAGGGAGCTGCGGCGCTGAGGGTGCGTGTAAAGGCCGCCGCGTGCGTGCGCCCGAGCCCCCCCGCCCGCCCGTGCGGGGTGTGGTGGCGGCGGGCGTGGCGGTGCCGCAGCTGTTTGCCGCGGCGGCTTCGCCCGCCGCCCTGCGTCGCGCCCTTTTCTTGCAGCTGCCCCCGCGCGCAGGCCCCGCCCGGGCGCACATGTACCCTACCCTCTGTGTCTCTCCAACTCTGCCACCGACCGCGACCCAAGAATAAAGTTAGACCGGGTTTGACCACGCACATACACCCACGGCTGCGTTGGTGGCATCGTTTCACCGCTGCACTCCCGACGCAGCTGGCGGTTTTGTACAGTCTTCTGCAGCATTTCGTTACTCCCGCGGCGGCTTGTGCCCACGCATGCTGCACGAGGGATGGGTCAGGCAGTTCAAAGAACAGTCCAAGCAGCCATCCTGCCAGCCAGGCAGCGGCCGCCGGCACCTCGCCTGGAGGTTCTCTGCTCGCGGTCCGCTCTCGCATCCGGTCTGACCGTTTCCATTCACTCAGCGACAACGCGGGTCACGCCCACTTGGCTGCCTGGTCGACGGCGGCCTCGTCGTCGTCTTAATGTGTTTTTTTGTGGCCATGCGTACGCGGAGCGTTTTCTCAGCTGCAGGGGCAGTGGGTCTTGTTCATACGCCTCGTACATTCACCCGACGCACCAGCCCCAGCAGAATGAGCTGCAACCTCTTCCATGTGCAACAACACAGCCACAGGCGTTACAACCGGTGAGAAGGGGGGAGAACAGGCAGAGAGTGGCCAAGCTCAAGAAGAACGCGCTTGTGCTGTGTGGCAGCAAAACATTTAACATCTATTAACGGTTCGACGGGCCACCATCGCCCTTGCTTGAAACGAGAAGGCGAGCAGCGCAAGGCGTCGCCCAAACAACACGTATGACATACGAGGGGGCCGCGCCGCCCCGCGCGCCGCATACGCTGCGGCAGCAGGGGCGGGGTCGGCAGCCGCAAAGGCTGGGCGGGGGATCGTTGGGGGCGGCCGGGCCGTCGGGCCGCGGCTCGCACGGGGCGATTCCATCCCTGGGAATCGTGCGTGCAGGATGGGAGGAGGCGGGAGGGGTGGGTGCGCAAGGCAAAAGCGGGCGCGTCGGCCGTCGGCGCGCGCCGCCTGCGTATGCGTGTGTACAAGCGCTGTTGGGGTGTGGGTGGCTCTGGTGGGGCGTAGTGTACACACCATCCGGGACGGTATGTTGTATCAGAGACTCGCTGAAACACAAACACAAAGCGATGAGGCGCCGCGCGGCCCGCGGCGCGGTCGCGGTCGCCGCCGCTGCGGGCGGGGTCGACGGCGGTGGTGCCCCCTTGGGCTGGGGCAGACGCAACAGAACAACACACAATCAGAATCCAGGCACTAGGGAGCCAGGGAGGGAGCCAGGGGTGCAAAAATATCCTCTTTGTTGGTGCTGTAGGTTGTGCCGCGGCGCAGGCGGCCGTCGTCGGGCCACACATGCATGCACGCGCGGCGTCAGCGGGCGGGTGGACACGCCCCGCGCACTGCCTGTCGGTTCGCAAAAGCGGGTACCCTTTTTCGCCCATGTGTGCCCATGCGTGCGCCACAAAAACCGAAGAGCGGCTGGTGCCGCTCCACAGCCGCAAGTGGGCTGTTTGCTCTGCAAGAAGGCGGTTTGTCAGGGCGGCCGGGCTCGAAAAAAGCGGGCGCGAAAACCGCCCTGCCGCGATCGCCCGCGCGGACTTATGTGCTCAAATAGCTTGCGTGCCGGGACGCCTCTGTGAGTGGCGCCGCATGCTACCCAGCAGGGCCGCCAGCCGCGGCTGCCGCCAGCAAGCTGGCGCCGGCCGGCGCGAAGCAGGGTGGAGCGGCGGGGCGCTCGCTGGCCAAATCCAGCCCAGCCAAGCGCATGCAGGCGGGGGCTGCAGTGCATTTTTGGTGTCCGTGTGTTCACTGCTGGCGGCCGTCAAAAAGGAGCTCGTTCGCAACGAGGGCGACCACGGTGGCGGTGACGGTGATGGCGGCCGCGGTGCCAGGATCTTGGCCGCGCATGACGCAGTAGCCGGTCACCGCCAGCGCACCGCAGCCGGTGGAGAGGAAGTCGTAGCGCTGTGAAAAGGGCCGGGGAGGGGGAGGGGAGGGGGGCAGAAGGTGGGGAGGTGGTGTGAGGGGGGTTGCCAGAATGGTGCACGCTCGCATGACACCCTCAACCGCTCCGGGGAGCCTGCCCCCGTGGGCTACGGGGCGACTGTGAGGCTCGAGTGATCCTATATGTGCCAGATGTGAGGTCTCACCGTGAGCATGCGGTCGACGGTGCTGAGGAACGCCGGCTTGGCGCCGGCAGCCACGCCAGGACGCGCACTGCTGCTGCTGCTGCTGCCGTCGTCGGGCTGCGCAGCAGCACGCACCCGCAGGGTGCGTGGCCGCTGTACAGAGGGCGCGTGGGTGGACTTGATGCCACGGGCAGCAGCGCGGGTCGTCTTGTGAGCCAGCATGTTCGCAGTGGCGAAGATATGCTCCGGGACTCGGCGTTTCAGAAGCAGGCTGGAGCGTAAACGAGAGTGTAGGTTGATAATTAGTATTGCAAGTGATTGTTTCACAGAGATACGGCGTCCATATGCAGGAGATCCCAAAGTTCGTTTCCACTTCCATTCCCGGGCTCCTTCGACATGGCCTTTTCTAGACCTGAGATGTGTGCGTATGTGTGCGAAAAATCAACCTCGACGTCTTTTGCAGCTCAGAGTCGCGGCTGGCACACCTCCCGCGTGGGGGCAGGCACTACTGGGCACCCAGGCCCGGCATGCCAGAGCAGCGGGGCACAAAACTGAACTTCGACTTTAAAGTGGTGCTATGGCCACTGTATGCGCGCGTCTGCTGCAGCGGTCCTCGTGCCGCCGCCGTTGCCATGTCGCCTGTTTGAGCTCGTCGCAGTTTAGCAGTGCATGCAGGGAAGCACAGGAGCAAGCCAGCTGGGCCTTGCGTATGACTGGGTAGCCACACCAAGATGTTGCTGTCCTTTAAGTAAACCAACATGTATCGGCAGAACGTACCAACAACCCAACTCGCGTTGAGCACTCTGCTGTTTGCCTCTCGCTGTGTTGGGTACCTGTGGTGGGCCACTGCGGTCTGCCACTGCCAGCCAGCCAGTCTAGACAATACACGGTATGATAAGCGATGCTTGTATCTGCGTTGATGATTGAGATGTTATTGTGTTTTCTGACCTCACATGAAGCATTCCACCAACCCTGAAGTCCCTGGCCTCCATCAGCCTGCACACCCAACTGCAGCGCACCTTGCAGGCTGTGAGGGCGTGCGTGCCAGCACTGCATGTGCAAACAGACCGCCGCCTCCACAGTGGCATCACGCCAGCCCAGGGCAAGGGTTCAAGGCCCAAACCCAGCGTGTGACTGTTGCCGCCCCGGCTGCGAGGCGTGCCTAGATCCCCGCTGCGCTGTCCGGCCCCTGCACACACACTGCACCTGCACCCCCCCAAACTGGCATCTGTTTGAGGCTGATGCGTCGCCTGCAGAGCAAATTTGAAGGGTCCCAGGCTGTGAGTTCCCTGTCTGGTGCGGTTATGCTTGCGCGTGTTTTGCATCTGAAGAGGCTCCACACCACCCTGGAGGTCACTCACGCCTCGAGAACCGGCGGGTTCGTAATACACTGCCGCGGTTGTAGGAGGGGTCAGGCACGCCCAGCACTGCCCAACATAGGGGTGGTGCAGTGTGCGCCAGGCCAATCAATGGAACAAACGCAGCAAAGGGCTTCGAACGACAGTACTGCAGGCCCTCATTTGCATGCGCATTCATTCCGGGCAAGTTTGGCGAGCTGCCTCCAGCAGAGAGTGTGACGCCCTGATGACGTCACCGCTGGCTGCGCTCGGATGACGAGGGGCTGAGGGGCATCACGTGGCCCAGGTCTGACGAGGACAGCGCCGCGCTGCTGCTGGTGCGCCCCCGCGTCGAGCGCGCAAGGCGCTGCTGCTGCAGGCACGCGTCGAGCAGCGCAGGTGGCGTGGGAGCGGGCGGGAGATGCTTCAAGCAATGTTCAGAAGTCAGGCGCGTCGACGCGGGCACGGAGATGAGCGCAGGGGTGCATAATGTACATTTCCATGAGCATGACGTCCGATGTAGCAGACGTCTGGCACATCACCGCAAACACTGTGCTGCGGATGCCTCCCCTCACTGCCAGTTGTGAATTGCGGGCGAGGGCTGCGGGGGCTCGGGTCCTGCAAACGTGCGTCTAATCGCTCACCTTCCGCGCCCGTGACGCCTCAGAGCCGCCCTGCCACCCCGCCTCCGTCCCGTCGGTGCGCGAGTCGCCGCAGCCGCCGCCGCCGCCGCTGCTGCCGCCGCCCGTTGACCGCCTTGACTGCTGCTTCAGCTGCGTGTCCCTCAGCGCCGCCGCAGCAGCGGCCACCCCCGACTGTACACCGCCGCCAAGCGGGAGCCAATCGGCGCCCGCCCCTGCGGCCGCCGCCGCTGGGGACCCTCCCAAGCCGCCGATGGCGCCGGGGCTGCGAGCAGCGGCCGCGGCCGCCGGTGACGCGACCCCAAGGTGTGCTGAAGGCGTGAAGGTATGATGAGGCGAGGCCGGATGCGGCGACACGCCCAGAAGCGCTGCAATGCCGCCGGGTGAGGTCGCAGCCAGCTTAGCCAGGAAGTCGTTCTGCGCCCTGATGACCGAGGCGCGCTCCTGTTGGCAAAAGGGTGGTGCGCCGGCCGCCAGAAGAGCACGCGTAGGGCAATGAGCTCCTGCACGCTGCACACAGCTTTGAGCGGCACCCACGCCGGCGCGGGTGCATGCACCACTCCTGCACCCCCCCCCCCCCCGGCCCGCAGGTGTGCCCCCGCAGGCACCCCGCTGTCTCACGCCCCAGCGCTGCAGCGCCGAGCAATCCGCGGCGACGCGTCGGGCAGGGCTCAAGCCATCGGAACGCGAGATTTGATGTGTCAACTGATCATATACGTTGAATATTGATTAGTCATATCAACGATAGAAACCCGAAAGCGCGCACCTTCTGCTCCTGCCTGAGTTTTGAGGGGTCTATATCGAGCTCACGCATCAGC